CCCAAAATCTCTGTAAATGTTTATGAAAATTAATAAAATATAGAAAAAAAATGAATATGCTCAATAGTCTGTGTCAGGAAATTTAGAAGACAGTTTCCTGGCCAAATGACTGGAAGAGATCCAAATTTATTCCCATTACCAAGAAAGGTGATCCAACAGAGTGTGAATATTATTGAGCAATATCAGATAAAAGTAAAATATGGCTGAATATCAGAACAACAACAACCACAACCAAGAAACAGCTAGAAAAGTACATTATGAGAGAACTACCAGAAATTCAGGCTGGATTTAGAAATTACAGCTGTCAGTGATCTCTCCAGAGTATTGAAATGCAACAATGCCAGTCCAGACAGTAAGGTACATCTAGTTTATTTTTTTTAATGGACATAGGACAAATACTATATGAATGAGTATAAAGATGCAAAATGGCTAGGAGAGTGTAAGCAGAGGGGTCAGGATGGTTGGAGGGGTTAATTGTTGGTTCACACAATTTGCTGGGTGGGTAGTGAAGGAACGGGAAAGATAGATCCAATGTGAAAAACAATGTACTCTAACTTTGTAAATGAACCAATAAAATAAATAACAAAAAATAATCTCACTTTAAATTTAAAGACTGGTAAATTGATTTTATTTTTAAAAAATGACAAAATAGAAGTGAGCAAAACAAAAGTAGAGATTATGGTGAATATGAAGAGACAAAGATATTTATTGGCCTAAGTGCTTGGAAACCAGAGCAGATGTATTTAAAACTTTAAAATTCATAGCATATTTTGAGAGGTAGGGTAAGTAATAAAACAACAAGGAAATTAAATTTCAGGTTCGCACTACTGAAAAAGTGTGAAGAAAAGAGATAAAAACCTTAAATGCTCTCCTTCTACCTTGTTTCTGAGCTGGAATAGGTGTCATCATTTCTGAATCGAAGTGGATCTTGTTCTTCAAACAACTTTTTTAAAGCTGTTGGATAACCATAAGTAATATAAACTGTTTTTATGCTTGTAGTGGTAAAAATCTATACATGATTTTTATGTCAGTTGACACTTGCAAAGAGTTAATGCTCTTTCTCATTTCAAGTGTGTTTATACCTTTTGAATAGAGTCACATTTTCATTCTATGGAATATGAATGTATAATATTTGAGGTATTCAGATTAAAAATTTTTAATTGATACAATTATTGGTGAGTAAATTTAATGATGAAGTAAATAATTTCAGAGAAGATATAATACAAGACACATTTAACAAAGAAGTAGCGTCAAATACAAATGATGTAAAATTTCTGCCAAAGAGCAATACTACTTTGAGCTGGCAGGCACAGAATTTGAAGAGTCAGGTATTTATTCTCATTAAAGCAATACCAGATCAAGAACAACTTCAATAGAAAGTCAATTATGTTGAACTATTTTAATGAGAAGGAGAGCCTCTCCTTGTGTTAGGAAAGAAATAGCAGAATAATGAGTGATAACATTAAACGTAACCCATGCAATGATACAAGGAGATTCCAGGTGAATCACATGTTCCAACAAGACTATATAAGCATCAGTGTACTCAGGCTGACATTCACACTTTCTTGACCAGCAGACTAAACTCACCAACCCTGACAACATGAGCTTCTACAGCAGCTACTCCAGAGGCCTGGGCTGTGGCTTTGGTGACTTTGGTGGTTATGGCTATGACTCTGGTTGTGGCCACCACCATAGACTAGGCTGTGGATACAGGTCTCACTGTGGAGACTGTGGATACGGCTCTCACTGTGGAGGCTGTGGATACAGGTCTCACTGTGGAGACTATGGATACGGCTCTCACTGTGGAGACTATGGATGCGGCTCTCACTATGGAAGCTTTGGACGTGGATCTGGCTTTGGGAACTCTGGACGTGGAATTGGCTCTGCAAGCTATGGATATGGCTGCTGCCGTCGTCCATCTTGTTATGGTGGATTTGGCTTCTCTAGCTTCCACTGAAATGCTGCAATGAGCACTCAACATAGATCATGAAGGGCTATCAGATCTGACTACAAAGATTACACTCAACAAAATTGAGCAAACCAAGATTAAAAGCATCTAACATTTAAAACTTCTAGGATTTTTATTTATGGCTGTATTCTTCATATATCTTGATTTCGTGAACATTTGCTGTTATATTTTGACATATATTACAATAAATTACTTGGTGTGAAGGAATATGCGTGATTTATTTTTATTTATTTCAAGGTTTTCAAAGATATGGCCATTTATTAATAGGCAATGAGCAAAACAAACTATCCCAATGAAAACAAAAATGTGTATGTATAAAAAGGAGAGAGAGAGAGAAAAACTGATACCAATTTGTGTGTGTGAACAAGTTTATGAAAATAATTTAGCTATGATAAATCATTTGAAGCTTTTGACAGTTATATCGAAACCGTATAAATCAGATCAAATAAAACTTTACCACTCTGAGCACTCAACAAAATAATTTTCTTTTAAATTATTTTTAGAAAATGTTTAATCATGTGCGTACAAAATTCATAAACATTATGTTCCACACACTTGTTCACACCTTTTTTTCTGTGTTTTTTACAATAAATTCCATGCTTTTTGTTTTATAAAATTAATCACCATTGAACTATGCCCACCATTTTTCTGTCTTTTCAGGTCCCAAACTGACTTTGTATAGATAAATTTTCCCTTTAAATTCAATATTAAATGTATATATTTTCATGCATTTACAGAGTTACTAAATAACTTTTGTGTTTTTCATAATTATTGAGTGTTTTTGTTATTTTTAATAGTTGCAAGTGACTACAGAACAAAATTTCTATATTGTACATTTTTATCTTTCCATATATACATGTGTGTATAGATATAGATAGATTAGATAGAGATAGAGATAGAGATAGATATAGATAGATATATGTAGATATATACATATAGATATAGATATAGATGATACAATTTATTGTTATGTGTCATAGACACAGACCCAACTCATAGATGACCCTCCAGCGGGTCTCCAGAGGCAGAAAATCACACAAGAAACACTTGCCCATCACTCACTGCAAGTGCAGCTGGTGGACTCTAACTTCATGACTTTGACTGACAGTGAAATTCTTTGAGACGAGGTTACTAGACCTTCCAGAAGCAGATATACATAGAGATGGTGGCCAAGTGGTAAGAAATTACACCTCAATCCTAAACTGCAATTTGAAACCACTAGCTTCTCCATGAGAGAAGGATGGGCAATCTCCTTCCATGTCTCTGAATATCTGCTGAGTTATGGGGTGGTTTCAACTCAACAATAACAACAGCAACAGGTATAGGTACAAGTAGAGATATAGTTGAGTTAAAAATGAAAATACAAATATACTCACGTATTCATCTAAGTACAATTTTCCTCCCATAACACTTTACTTGATCTGTCATAATGTAACATTGCCTTGCTCTTCATATATCATTAGTACACTCATGGATCTTGCAATTAAGCATGGGATTTGAAAATAGTGTCAGATATTTTTAAAATAAAACCACTCCTATAGAGTTAGTTAGGCTCATAACAAACCTCCACTAATTTCTGAGACTGTGAATTGTTAGGAGATTTCCTATCTTTTGTTCCTAGATACAGCTGTTGCTGTTGCTCATTGCCTTTGTGTCGAGAATGACTCATAGAAACTCTATGAACAAAAGCTTGAAGCCTAATTATCATCATTTCCTCAGGTTCATAGAGTTTCAAGAGGCATGTGGTTTAGGAAGTGTACACCACTCTTGTTTTCAAACCCATCCTAAACTGCTAGCTCCACCAAACCCTGTTCACCATGGGCAGCTATTATGGCCTTTGACTTCCAATAGCAAATGGTTCAGCTTCACAGCAAACCCAGATTACCTCAGTGCACCAATTTGGCAGAGGAGTGCTGTATTACTTAGAAGAATCTTCCTTTAAAATGAAATAAAGATAGTGATAGCAATAAGCCCTTGGACAAAACCAACATTTAAATACAAAGGCCCTCAAAGTTTCTAAAGGCATGTGATTTAGGAAGTGGATGGCATTCCTGCTTCCAGTAGAGATAGCTAGTGAAAGAAAAATATCAGAGAGGCACCATTTTTTTAGCTGTGTAACACACTATGGACTACACATAACTTAGTATGTGCAAACTATAATGTACAAAGAATAAAACTGCCCACCTTAGCAGTGTTCTCAAAATTCTTGATATTGTTTATTCCATTGTTAAACCTTCCGAGCCAATCTATTTCATTGAGTATGCCCTCTTTTTTAATACTTCATCTACTTTACCAAGCATATTTTCTACAAAGATTTGTAAACTCTGATACATCCAAGGTACGTATAAAATCTCATTATCCTTGCTTGCTTCTAAGAAGCATTTTTAGAAGTATTTAATCTAATTTATATTTTCTTTTATGTTGTTCTGGATGTTGTCTATAGTACAGTCCTCAATTTTTTCCAATACTGTAATCCAAAATAATCAATTATTGGTCTTTATTTATTGTTCAGCTTTTGAATTTCTGTGAAATAATGGAAAATAACATGGCTTAATTTGGCATACCTTACTTTTCACTTGCTTTCTTGATTGTTAATTCTATGGTTCTTATTATAGACACAGATGAAATAAAATTATTAATGAATTCAATATTTTCTCTGCTTTTCATGAAGTTTCTTATTAGTATATTTGTGGTGGTTTTAATTTTGTTGAGTTTTGTTCTCTTTCAGGTATGGCTTTATCCATTTTGAAAGATGTATTCTTTGATTATTATTAGTAATTGCTTCAAGTCTATTTTATTTTCGGCTAGAAAGATTGTGCCTTCTGATTGTATTAAAATTAATGTTATCAAGCAAAATGTATAAGAGCAAGTGAACAAAAACTAAAACCAAATTTGGCCATTTGCATATAGCAGATTGGTAATAATACTTCCTCAAATCCTGATGCTACATTCTTCTATCTTAATTTATATGCTGGGAAGGACTCTAAGAAGTTGGCCTAGATAGATTCAACTTCTTAGAGTTCTCCCCAGCATATAAATTAAGTAAGTATGGTGAAGAACACAATACTGTCACATTCCTTTCCTGATTTGAAACTATGAAATATCCTATTGTTCTAGTTGAAGAGTTTGTTAAATATTTATTTATGTAGAGTTTCCATATAAGAACAATTATGTACGCTATAATTGCCATTCTTTGCATTGTTTTCCCTGTTTGTATGAAATACATAGATGAGTAACTTTTCATGGTCAATAAAATACAGGCAAATATTTTTCAGATTTTTTTTTGGTCATGATAAAATGGACCTTAAAATCATATCTCTAATCCCGCATCTTTTAAATTTCATGTGAATATCTGGCAGTTCTCTACAGATATGCTCCTGAAACCATTTTAAAATTTATCACCACCAAAATTTTACGAGTTGCATTAATGATACTGGGGGATAAATTCTGCATTTAATTGCATCAGTTTCTTTGAAATGAACACAGACATGGATACCTTACAGTCAATTGATGAGCTCGCTTTCTTCCAAGTTTCTAGAAGAAACTTTGCTGTTGTTGTTATGTGCCATTCAGTCAACACTGACTCAGAGTAACTGTAGGGACGACAGATGAGAAGCATACTGTATACCATGCCTTCCTCACATTCTGTTGCTATAGTCACTATACCAATCTATCTAGGTGAGGGTCTTCCATTTTTTTGTTAACCTTCTACCTTTACCAGCATGATGCTTTTTTCCAAAGACTCGTTCTTCCTGAAAACATGCTCCAAGTATGCATGTGAAAAAATTATGTAATATGAGGAACGGTTGTTTTTCTTGTTAAATGCCATAAAACAGCAATAACCTTAATTTAACCACTAGTTGCAAAGGTTGCTATTTTTTTTTTTGTTAATATGTCTCTCCAAAATACTCAAGAGCAACAGTGTCTCTCTGGAGACTAAGTTCCACCTGATACAGGCCATGATTTTTGCAATCACTTGTTATGCATCAGAGAGTTGGACAATGACTAGGGAGGACAGAAGGAGAGTGTATGCTTGTGAGCTGTGGTGCTGGAGAAGAGCACTAAATATAACATGGACTGCCAAGAAAACAAACAGATTCATCATAGAGAGGATTAAACCAGGCTGCTCCTTGGAGGCAAGGATTCTGGGGCTTCGTCTGACATACTTTGGACATATTGTAAGGAGAGACAGGTCTTTAGAGAGGGACATCATGCTGGGTAGAGTAGAGGGACAGCGCAGGAGGGGAAGACACTCTATGAGGTGGATTGATTCAGTGACTGGGATAATCGGGATGGGAGTGTCAGAGACGGTGCAATTGGCACAGGACAGAGCGGAGTTTAGGGTTGTTGTACATCGCTATGAGTCGCAAGTGACTCGACGGCACATAACAACAACAGCAACAATATAAGTAAAAAAACATCTAGTAAGTAATGCTAACTTTAAACTCTATGTAAAAATAAATTATCATAACATATTTGAAAACAAGTTGTTTGGTGACTATGTAGATGGAATTGCTTAACAAATAACCTGAACCAATCCTTCTAGTGAATTCAAGTGATGGTTTGGAATGTCACAGTCGATAGATAAGTGCAGTATCTCTATTAGAAAACTATATTCTTTAGTTCGCTGAGTAAAATTAATGAAACAACAAATATATTATTGGAATTCAAGAACAGAAAGATTTAAAGCAAAAGTATAGAAAAAAACTGTGGAAGAGATACCAGAAGAAAATGTTATAAGTGTCATGAAAAATGAGGAAATATATGTATTAGAGACTCAGCAAATGCCTAACAGACTAGATCTTGAAAGAAAAACTGGTAAGGTGTATAATTGTTAAATTATCCAATATCAAAGAAAAGGATAGGATACCAAAAACAATGTGAGAAAAACAAAAAAATCACCCACAAAGGAGAATCAATTAGATGAAACTCTGACATCGTTGCAGAAATCATGCGAGCAAGAAGATTTGGGAAGCTCTCTCTATATA